GAGAGAGAGGAAGAGAGACAGAGAGAAAGAACCAGCCAGTGAGTGAGCGAGTGAGTGAGTCCGTGCATGCGTGAAGAGGCACAACCCGACGAAACATGCAAAAGCCAGGCTCCAAGATCCAAGGGGTTTCATGCTCAGACTGTTGGAACGCTTGTCTAGTATTGCGTCTGTCATGCTGGTACATATTACTCTTCAGTGTCTGGGGCCATACAGAAGTCCTTCGCAACTTCTCCTTGCACTTCGGTGTCTGCCTTCCTGGCCTAAGCTGTTCTCGCTACGAGAAGCCAGATGAGGAAGTAGAAGGGCTGATTTGTTGAATGCTGCCGAACACTCAGTGGGAGTAATGCACCAGACAGAACTTCTGCACCTGCTGACCTCACTTGCCAAAACCCGCATTTCTGGAGCGAGAAATTCTCTTGGTAGCGATGAAAACGACTTCATCTGGAACCTGAAGCCAGCAAAGCAACGAACATGCGGACCTCGCCGGAGGAAAAGACGGCTTTGGGTCGGGATGCCATCTTGGCGCCGTAACCGTCCGGTGCTCTGCGGCGCTCTTAGGGAGTCTTTGTGGCGGGTCTGCTTGCTGCCCGGTGCTCTCTCGCGGTCTGGGGGGGGGGGGGGGGGTTCACTCGCTCACGTTCTGTTCTGGCTAGCCTCGAGCTAAGTAGGGCCAGAGCCGAAAAGCGGGGGTGACAAAAGCGAGGTCGAAGCGCGGCCAGGTGAAAAGAGAGCACTGCTTTGCACTCCAGGATCTGTGGAGCAAGTGCTTTTTTTGCAAGGCGCAATCACAGAACAATGTCGGGACAGCGCCACTGCGTTGGCACCTTGGGCTGCAAAGCAGCAGGGAGAGCGATCGGAGGGCTTCAAGGAAGACAGGAATGCGTTCCGGCAATGAAGCTCTGAAAAAGCCCTGGCAGCAAGACACTCGTCACAGCTTGCAAGCGTGAAGCCTGCACCCAACACCCGAACGATCCAATGATTTGTCTTTAGCTGCCGTCAACTCCGAGAGCCCCGATCTCTTCCCAGAGGCACATCGTTGCGAAGCATCCCACCCTTCCATCTCGCAAGGCCTGGCAGAGGGAGAGGAGAACGAGATTGCACCCCAACCCGCGTGATAACCAAATTCGCTTACGGCTCATCCTTTTGGGGCAATTCGCAGCAGGAGTTGCGGGCCATTGCGGGCCTAACACCAAGTCGTTGTACCTCACGACTGCCTGCACAGCACAAAGCACTGAGTGAGCACTCGGGTGTTTCCGGTTGAGGGTGCGCTCTCTCCTCCTTGCATGGCTTTTCGTGCAACTGCAAAAAATCCACCGTGGAAGGCTGTCTTCAGGCTGCACAAGACAGTCATAGAGCAGTTCTGATCATGTCAGGATACTTCGGTCTGCAGCATTTCTTGATTTTTTTGTAATGTGTGGAAGGGCTGGGGCTTCTGGAATCCATCCCAAAGCGACAGCATCCTTGTGAGCCATATGAGCCAGCTGTTTTCGAAGAGCACTTGAGCATGACGCGTCAGGCGAGCACAGGCAGAATCAAGACGAGCGATGGCAAACTATTTCGCAGACTCCATCAGACCGCACGTTGAGACAACAACGGCCAAGGCGCAATTGCTGAAAATGTCAAAAGAAACGGAATCAGCAACACGGTACTGTGCAGGTGACCCGCTGAAGTGATAACATGCGGAAGCGATCCCAAACCTTGGGGTGTTGACGCAAAAGTTGTCCAGATTCTGCACTCATTCCACGGCCTGGGTGTTCTCAATCGCGACAGCCGAAGCCTTCGTCCAAAGGGGTTCCACATCCTGGCCCCGGTCACGCGGCCACATTCAGAAAGGGTACCACTATTGCTATCCCGCGAACCACGAGTCGCACTACAAGTTCAGCACATTAGCTTCTGCCAGTGGCGATACACGCAAATAACACGACGACGACACAACGACCATGACGACGACGAGACGGCTGCTGCAAATCACAGTAGTCGTATTGACAATTAACGATCATCACGATCATCATCGAAATGCTGAACCTACTAGCCAGGACCCTACAGTAACACCCAGAGGCCATGTTCATCCTTTTTCGTCGAAGCTTCGGGAGCCGAGGCTGCCCCGTCATAAAGTACATTAACGAACCTACGATCGGCCTGGAGATGGGGACTGCGCGAGGCTTCACTTGGCGAAAATTTTGTTGGCCGGGCCTTCAGGTCTCCCATTAGCGACCTCTGCGAGACACCTCAAGCTCCGAGACCCACATGAATCGCGGTGAGACATGCAGCATTCAGGCGCGGCTTTGAGCACCAACGCCCGCAGCGACCGCCGACCTGCCAAAGGAGCGGCTTCAGCCCAATGCCCCATGCAGCAGTCTTCCTCCATCCCTGGCTGGCCTAGGCCTCCTTCTCTTCCTTCTCGGCTGGGTTGTCCTGGTGACTACACAAGTTGCGGTATGGCATGTTAGGTCTGCTTTCCTCTGTGGTGTGAAATCCCCGGCACTGCACAGCGGTGCCCGAGGCTTCAATTCGAACCAAACAAAGTCTTTGCACTTGTTGGACGTTCCGCGCCTCTTCCAGTATCCCTTGCACTCGCCACTCCAACCTCACTGGAACTCAGGAGCTAGGGTGCCTTTCACATTGGATCCGAAAGACTACACCTGAACAAAAGTTGACACAGTTTGCCGAGCGCTTGTTGGTGTGCCTCGGGTTGCGGCCTGTGCTTTTTCATTCCCGCTTGTTTGGCCAAGTATGACGACTGTATCTGAATCTGAACGCATCCGGAAGCCTCGTTCATGAGGTCCTTGCCACAAAATCTAGCAACACCATTGCACCATCACGGGCATAGAGTCTGCAGGCGAGCGGCGCCAGATTAAGTGTGAAGCCGCCGGCAGCAAGCCTTGGTGTCATATATCTGGACTGCAAGGCTCACAACCCTCAGCACGTAAACGTCGTAAACCCTAGGCCCTAAATCCCACAGGCGCCAAGTCGCGAGTACGGCAGCCCCTGCGAGCTGTTGTTGATGCCAATCCTGCACCGCTGAAAGCACTGTCCGGAACAACCGGGTCGCTAGATGCAATCGGCCTCCCAAGATAGAAACAAAGCAAGGGTGACAACAGGAGCAGCAGCACCAGTAGTAGTAGTAGTAGTAGTAGTAGTAGTAGCAGCAGCAGGAGTAGGAGTAGTAGTAGTAGTAGTAGTAGTAGTAGTAGTAATAATAATGGTAGTAGTAGTAGTAGTAGTAGTACTAGTAGT